ACAGGAATCCTGGGGGTAAGGAGATGTTTGCACTAGAAATGGCTAGCAGAGTGGACAGCTTTAGGAAAAGACAGGACAGCATAGCAGTGTTCTCCACAATTGTTCTCTGTTGGCCAGAAGGACAAGTGCAAAGTCACACGGCTTTTTTCAGTCCTCTGAAGGCCTGGGGTCTGGCTCTGAGCAAGCCAAGGCCAGCCTGGTGTGCTGGTGTCTGGTCAGCTTCCTTGGCCTTCCTGGGATGCGAGGGCCCTGTGCAGCCACCCAGGCAAGGAAGAGCTCCTGCACCTTGGGGTGAGGAGGTACTGCTGAAGCTGGCCACACCCTAGAGTCACCACCGCAGATGCGTATCTGGGAACTAGACTTTCCAGTTACACACCTTGTGAAGGAGTTGGTGGATTTCCCCACAAACCCTTGGTGCCTCCTCGGGTGCTGGGCCCTGAGGTGTGCTTCCCCCCACCCCCATGAGCTTGGCACCCCACACTCACATCCATAGAGGGGACATAGCACGTGCCCTCAGACACAGCCCAACCTCTTTATTCGTTTGTTTGGAAATCACTTCAAGTATTGTATCCCAGGGAAGACTTTATATCTGTCCTCTGACCGGGTTTTCCAGCCAGCGTTTTGTTTTCACCCCATTGTTTCTTCCTCCTCCTCTTTTCTCGCTCACGCGCACTTATACATGCCTTTCCTGAACCATGCGAACATTGCAAACATGTCCTTTTAGTCTGACATACCTACGTATTTCCTTGGCATGTGTACCTCTTTGACCTGGTGACAGGAGTTACCATTTCAGAAACGCAGCCGCCTGCTGCCTCTGCCACCCCTGCCAAGGGGTCCAGCAGCGTCTGTGCAGGTACAGTTCCCCCGCCCCCACCCCCCCACCGTAATGCTGACTCTGGCCCAGCAGCAGCACATGCTCTTTTGTGCTCATTCTCCCGGGCCTTTTGCCCCGCTCTGTGCTGGGTGTCACCCACATTGCTGAAGCATTTGCACCCATTGTTTATTTTTCAGGTGAGGAGTTAAGATCTTTGCAGCCCCTGCCAGGACATTTGAAGCACAGAAAAGCGAGGTTTCGAGCTAAATTGAATGATTGAAAACAAGCCTCAGCAGCCCTCACTGGGTGTTTCTTGTGTCTTCTCCAACTCCATGTCACTTTGAGACCTAAGATACCTCTGAATAGGCTGTTGCTCACCTGTAGGCCAGTATCTGTTATCATGAAAGACTTAGTGCTTATACCTGCAATTAGCCCCCCGAAAAAAGACCATTAATTTTTAGTTTTCATCAGAAAAATGCAACTTTTTGGTGTCGATGTCATCTAGCCCAGAAAAACCCATTGTTGTATATGTACCAACTGTGATTTATTTCAAAATCACCTTAACTCCAGTGATTGAAAAAGCGAAGATGTGAAGCGAAGCTATAGCAGAGGAGAGGCCAGGCTTTGCAGCCCAAGTGTGTCCAGGGGGGCAGTCAAAGCCAAGGGCAGGAGCAGAGCTGTTCTTGGAATCCAGCAGAGTGGCCTCTCCATTTTCCTGTGAGAAGGGAGATTGCACTCAGCCCTGCCTGCAGGTCAGGGTGCAGGTCTGGTGTTCACGCACGTCCTGCATACATGACATGTGTGTTAGGGACAGGGCTGGTAAGGACAGAGGCATTTATTTAATCCTTCTTCCCACTACTCCATCAACAAAAAAAGGGAAAGGGCTTTAGGTTGAGAGGGTGAACCGTCCTTTGGGGAGGCTGCAGCTCCGAGTCCCAACAGCTGAGTTTATTCTCCCCCTGCAAAGCGTTTCTTCCTTCTCCTTCCAAAGCAGAAATCCCAGAAATCCCAGCCCTCAGCTGCTCTGCTTCCAGCATTGCTCTGAGCATAGTTTAAGGAAAGCTCTCTTCCCGTGGGAGGAGGGTATGGTAAGAGCAGTCCTGGTCTCCAGGTGATAGTAGGAGTTACAGTGACCAGTTTCTGAGTGCTTGCTGTATGTGCTAAGCTCCAGTTTGTCCATCATTTTAATCCTACGAGGCAGGTGGTGGAATTTTCATTTTACAGAAGACACTGAAGCCCAGAGAAGCCAGGTGACTTCCTGAATGTCACAGGGGAGTCATGACTCCAGAGCCTGCCCTTGACCCCTTCTGTCTGCAGGGATCTCTGCAGGCATTTGTATTTTAATGGCCGCCTCTTCCATTTCTAGGACTCTATAGTTTGCAAACCTAGTTGTGTGAAGTGTGTGACCTTACCAACCTAATACATACATATATATATATATATACATATATATATATATATATTCACAAGAAGTAAAATACAAATGGAAATAGTATTATGTTTTAGATAAAAACTAACAAAATACGATGTTAGTCAAGATCTGAGGGATCTGTCTTTACAAACAGCTCTCAAAATGTCATGAAAATTTGAGAATAACTTATGATCAATCTATCAAATAAGGGACTGGGTAAATAAATCATGATATCCATCAGTGGATTTCTGTGCAGCTCTTATTTAGGGTGGTACACAGTAGGCTTTGGCCAACCATGACACACAGGTCAAATCCAGTCCACTGACTGTTCTTCTTAACAAAGGTTTATTGGCACACAGATGCTCCTATTAATCAGTGTATTGATTATGGCTGCTTTCCTACTACAATGGCAGAATTAAGTTGTTCCAACACAGACCAATTGGCCCAAAGGTCTGAAATATTTACTCTCTGTCCCTTTACAGAAAACTTTGCTGGTATATTTTGCTGGCAGAGTTTTAATTGACATGGAAAGCTTTCTGTAATACATACTATTGAAGGAAAAATAAAACAACAGGGTACAGAATCACATGCATAGTGTGGTCCATGTAACATAAAATTGTGTGATGATGGGGAAATATGTTTAAAGAGTATGTTTTTAGGAAAGATATGTTTATATGTTCACCAGAATATACAGGGTTATCTGTGAGTTGTGAGATTTTAGGTAATTTTTGTTTAACTTCTTTATATTTTTCTGTATTTTCTAAGTTTCTTGGAAATATTTGCATAAGTAAAACAGATAAATGGACATTATCTTTATTACATAAAGTTCACAACTCATCTGAACAAAGATCTTGAACTGATAATTCACAAAGAGGAAACAGCTACTGAGCAGATATAGGAAGCCATCAAAAAATTGCAAATGATGCAAATCAAAATTGTTCCATTTTATAAATTAGATTTTAAACTCACTTGATGCTTGTTGGGATTTAATGAAACTCTTCTTTCATAAATTGCTGGTGGCCTTATAAATGATTGAAAATATTTTGGCAAAGTTTTAGTAACTTTCTATAAACACTTTGAATTCATGCACTGTTATTGTATACCTTGAAATAGTACCCTCCCCTTCAATTTGGGAAAGACTATACACAAAAGGGTTGGAACAGCATGAAATTTTTTGATTTAAAGCTAGGAGGCATTGAACATAAAACCCCACAAAAGCTACTGTTACTACAGTAGCAAAAATCCCTCTAGGACAATACCAGGTGCTGATGAGAATGAGGAACAACTGGCATTCTCATGGCGGGAATGTAACACAGCACTCTGGAAAACAGGTTCTAGTTTCTTATTAATTAGGTGTATACTTGCCACGCGATACCCCATAATCTCATCCTAGTGCGTTTACTCTTAAGAAATGAAAACTATGTTCACACAAAGATGTGCACATGAATATTTATAACATTCCTATTCATATATGCCAAAGCCTGGAAACAACTCAAATGCTTTCCAGTGGGCGAGGCGGTAACCGCGCGGTGTAGACAGGAGCGTGCTGTTGATAGGACGCCCACGTGGGTGACTCTGAACCATCTCATCACAAGCACTATGCTGAGTGAAGAAGATGGTCTCAAAAGCCGACACCCCGTGTGATTCCATTTATAGGTCCTTCTTGAAAAGACAAAATTACAGCGTCGGAGAGCAGACAAGGGGTGGCCACGTATCCAGTGTGGGAGTGGGTGTGACTGAGGGTTAACGCAGGGGCCGTGGGTGACGGAACTGTCCCGAATCCTAGTGGGGTGGTGACTTCACAAACCTATCCATACATTATAATGCACAGACTTGCACTCCAGAACCAGTCAATTGTGTGGTATATTAATTTAAAATTAACAAAATTAAATGTATTACATTTTTAAAAAGCTGGAAGTTAACAAAAATTGCAATATTATTTGTTTCAGGTGATGATTCTGTGTACAGTTTCCCTTCCCTTCCCAGGTTAATATGAATAGATTATATTTCTAATTGAAATAACATACTTATAAACAAACCTACTAAGTTGCTGCACTAGTATCATGGTGGTATGTGAAGTTGGGGAGAGACAGGTAGCCCTGTGTACTGATGATGGCTGATGGCACACTGCTTGTCTGGCATGTTGACAGCAGTTCAAATTATGTTCATGATTTGTTTATGAAATTAATAAAATATGGAGTTTATGTTTATAAAATTAATACATTTATGAAACTAAGATTGTAGTTCACTTTAGAAGGTAGAAGTAATATTCGTATTACTCCTAATATGTTTATTCTTCTTTAAGCCTCTTATCTGGAAAATTTACCTTTGTAGAATTTCCTTTTTCCCTTTGATGCTAAATACATAAATTTGTGTCACACGGCAATGATTAACCCATGTAATCATGCCTTATCCCACTTGTTCTACAAATTTTCTCTCCCACTCCTGGAAAGGTGAGTAGGACTCCTGTGTGGTCTTCTGTACGCAGAGGGAAACTGAGGTACAGAAACGCTGGAGTGGAGGCAGTGGGGCAACAAAAATCACATTTGCTTTAACTTTTCTCCCGGAGAAAAACTATATTTTTTGTGTGTGCATGGAATGGCAATAATGCTAGAAAAGTTAATATTATGATATTGTTTTCTCTTGAGAATTTCCTGGACATCATTAGAAATGAAATAAATGGTGTGTGTCTTGGGGGGGGAAATATTTTATTTCTCACTGAAGATTCACAGGCACCTTGGCAGTAATGCTTCCCCTGTCTGCTTGGTTTTTCAGGATTCTGTACTGCACGCTGATTATGCCTCTGTTCTACCTGAAGCCTTTCTTTTCCTACATCTTCCTCAACCTACAGCTCATGGTCCTGCAAGTCCTTCACCTTTACTGGGGATATTTAATAGTGAAGATGCTCAAAAGATGTATATTCGCAAAGGTATGAACTGTTCAAGTCTTATTGCTCTTAACAAGCCGACTTTATTGGCAGAGTGAAGCAAGGCCCAGATGGTGGAATATTCTTGTGAGTTTATAATTAACTACAATTCTTTTATTCCTTGATTTAATTATTGCTAAAAATTTCTCTAAAATGTAGCTAGATTGCCCATTAAGTAGGTTTCTAATGTGCTTTTAAGTAATTGCTTTTATCTGAGGACAAGTTATTATCTTTAAATGTTTATCCAAAAATTGATTGCTGCTTATTAAAAAATGTCCTGGGACAAGCTTTCTGATGACAGTTGAGTGACATTTCAGTCTTTGTTTGCCTTTGCTGAGTGTTCAGTTTCACGTAATGCTTTCCTCCTGAGCCTCTCCCTATTCCCTGCTCAGTTTTTCAGAATATTGTCCATCATCTGACTATACTTTTCTCTGAAAATATCTTCTTCACTTAATAATAACTAACAATGCAGTTTGTACAGTAGAAGTTTGTTTTGCTTTGTTTTGAATTCAGCTCTGGTCTTTAATTCTAGAACAGGGTCAGGGGAGAACTTCAGAAGTGAATGAGACAGGATAGCTACTCCTGGGGAAACAGCCCACTGTCGGGGCCTGGACCCACTCACCTACTAGCATCTTCCTGCAGTGCACAGGCTATACTGTGCCAGAAAGAGTCCCAGGAACTTGCTGTGGAAGAAGAGGTAAAAGAGAAAGTAGTTGGCTCATGGGGACCAGGGACAGTTTCACTGATTACATGGACTTTGACTTCAACCTTTAGGGCAAGTGAAAAAAAAAAAAAATCAGACCACAACTCATTCTTTGGAAATCATACATTTAAGGGAGTTGTAATTAAAGATCATTGTAATCCTGGTAATTCAAGGTCACAGGTGACCCATTTTGGGGTGTTACCATCACTATATAACCCAGCACTTTATCAGCAGCAGCATGAGCTGTATGTAACAGGAATGGTGGTCATTTACCTGATAAATTCATATTTTGATCAACTTTCCAGTTGATTTTCCTACTTATGTAAAAGTGTCACAAAGAACATTGAAGAGTTGACAGATGAAATGGACATTGTAAACCCGGCCCTCTGGGCCATCCCTTACTTCTAGATGCAGACAGATGTGTAGGACACTGAGTGACATCTGGATGAATCTCAAACCAAACCCTGAAAGGTTTTCTTTTGTTTTTTAACTAAATTACTGACTTGAGCTTGTTTTCTTGAGCGTGAACTCTTTCCCTTGTTGGAATGCTAAGGAAAAAACTTTCATCAAATGGTTCTAGTTCATTAATTTCCTAAATCATTTTTCAATGATCTCTGCAAAAGCTATTTTTTCTCTAAGTGACTGATGACATTGAAGCAGGTGATAGAGAGCTAAGGATTCAAGCAGTTAAATCATCTGCACAGCCAGGGGTTGACATGAAGGTAGGGCAATGGCTGTCATCCCTTCGGGCCAAGCTGTCCTGGAGCTTCTGTCCCTAGGCAGAAACTGGTCCCTCGTCAACTGGTGAGTGACAATAATTATTGGCCTGGATGGGATCCAGGCAGAACAAAACTTGGAAGCCAGAAGGTACTCTTGTTTGGTTTCATCATGATTTTTATATTTCTGATCTCTAATGGGTTGTGCCAGGCCTGATTAAAAACCCAGCGGGTTTGGGAGCTGTGGACAGGAATTCCTGATTTCTCATGCTGTACTTTGGAAAAGCTGTTTCCAATTGCAATTTGACAGCAGTAGTGGGGGCCCTGCAGCCCTAGTCCTTGCCGTGTGTATGACTTCAGCTGGCTTGCGTGTGCTCGCTGTTCTCCATAGCAGTGGCAAAACTGGCTGTGAAATCAGCTTACTCCTCCAAAGCCATAAAGCCTCCTTTTAAAGAATGCTATTTGAAGGCATACTTGGTTGCATTGCAAAGGGGGAGGAGTGGGCTAGAAGCTGGAGTTGAAATTCTTAGCGGAACAACAAGTCCATTTTCAACTCCATTTCAAAAAATCTTCAGCATTTATACACACCTCAATTGTTACTAAGTAACTAATTCTTGAATCTTTAAAAAATGGATTTTTCTAAAGAAGTTCATCTGATAAAGCTAAACTTTCAGATCTTTCAAATCTTTTTTTTTTTTTTAAAGATTTATTTATTTATTTATACAAGCACTGGGTACAGTCAGAAGCGTGGGAGGGTGAGAGAACTCACCAGAACCAGAGCTGGGAACAGAACAGGCAGACTGACGAAGAAATACTCAGCTTAGGGGAGCAGCGGGCGCAGCAGGAGAGGTCTGTGCACCATGTGGGACCCTCGCCGGTGGCCGGGGATCGAACCAGCGCTACAGAAGCTGCTGGCAGCTTCGCAGCCCAGTGCTCAACCGCTGTGCCACCAGGGGAGGCCCTCTTTCAAATCTTTTAACAAAGGTTGAGGGTTTATCCCTTTAAGCTTTAAGCGCTTTATAATAGATAGTCTTCAATTTTGAATATGCAAATTAAGAAATAATTTGGGGAAGCAAAGCACCTGTTTTGGGTGGAAAGTTACAAAATAGTTTATTAATCTTTTAATGGTCTTCATTAAATCACAAGATAGACTGGAAAAAAGTGATTATACTTCTTAAAAATAGCAATTATGGTAATATTTACATCTTATTTGCCCTAAACAATAGGGTTGCTGCATGCATAACAATAGGGCTGTTACATGCATAATGAACCATTTGTTTCTGCAATTGAATATCTTAAAATATCAGTGTAACTTCAGGACACTCACATGTGGACCATGGTTAGCAGGCCTCTTGCAGCTTGAGAACAAGACTTGGCTCCTATAAAATGGGGGTTTGGGGATGAACCACCAGCCCACACATCACATAGGGAGGCATGATGGGCTGACATGTTCTTCTTGTCATTCTCCTTGCAAACACAAAAAGAGCTTTCAGAGGAAATTAGAAGGAGCACAGCCTGCTTTTGTTTAATATTACTTAAGAGAACTTGATCATCCTTAAGCTTTTACTTTCTTCTTTCTAAATATCCTACTGGGTGCTGGCCAACTCAAGCATGTCTCTGAAACATCCTAGTCTGGTCCAGAGCCAGGACTTGGGGAGGAGGTGCAGCGAGCAGCCATTGAAGCCTGGATGGAGAAACTAGCCCCTTGGCAACCTGCCCCAGCCATCTGCACGCGGCAGGCAGGCAGAGCCTCTTAAGTTCACAGACTGACACTGTCAATGCCCTGACCTATTTCAGTTAGAGAGGGACCTTCTAATAAATGTGAGGAAACTGAGGCTTCCACCAAATTCACACAGTCATTTCATGGCAAAGCAGAAACCGGAACCCGAGTCTCTTAACTTATAATACTTCATCTTATCTAATTATTTTTTATTCACATGGAAGGCAGAAAATTAATAACTAGAGAATTAATTTTAAAGACTTCTTTGGAGTAAAAAACAGTGACTACATAAACAGAGTAATTCATAGATTAAAACCCAGCACAAAGCCTTCAACTTATTTTTTAATTTTTTTAAAAGCACATGAATATGTGTTGTGATTTTTTTTTTTTTAAATCCCAAATCACTTCTAGGTAAAGCAATTAGAGTCGTAGCTCCGTATACAGGTTCTATGTAGATTCAAACCCAGCTCTCACATTTACTAGCTGTGTAATGTCAGGGTCGTGACTCCTGTGCATCGCCTCTGCTTCCTCACCGTGATCTGGGGGTGATGCTATACCTGCCTTGTAAAATCAACCCTTGGAAGAATGTCTGGCACGTAGTAAGCTTGTGGTGGGGGTCAGCTGCCATCACCATAGCCATGTTCCCTCTTTACTCAGTTCTTTGCACCAATTCGCAGAGCGCAGGTGAACCCCCAGGAGCCTGGCGGTCAGCTGTCCGTGGAGCCCCCCCCTTCTCCTGCTTGGACAGCCCTGCAGCCCCGGGCAGGCATCACAGTCCTTCACTTGCCGCCAAGGGCTCCACTGAGTGTTTTCTAAGCTGTGTCCTGCCAGTTGACTTTTGTGACTCACATTCTGGATGATCCTTTTTGACTTTCTCAGATATCAGCGCCTTAGGGAAGAAATACAAAATCTGTAAAAGCTTCCAAATCTCTTTTGGTAGTAGATAATAGTGGATGTAAAAGCTTTCCTTTGCTGAACAAAATCTCTTAAAAAATACCACAAGACTGATGATTGAAACAGGGTGTTACAGATGCTCTCAGTTTATGTCTCCATGTCTTGACTGTCTGTCTATGCAGATTAGCCACCCCAGCAAACGATCCAAAAAACAACAGTGGAATTTGTAAACTTATAATAATGCACAAAGTTGCGTGGCTCAAAGAATTTCAAATTTAAATATTCTCCCATACTGTACTTTCAGCTCAGCAACAAAAATAGAGAATCCCATAGACTGTGGGAGCTGAGACTATGAAGTGTCTGCCAGGACACTGGGACCCCTCTTCAGGCCTCACTGCTCACCAAGTCATGGTCACTATGGATAAAGGAAGAGGGCGACAAAGATTAAAGAAGTTATGTGACTTGCCCAAGGTCACACAGGAGGGGGACTCACCCCATAGCCCTGGGACAGCAGAGCCCTGAGTCTGTGTCCGTCTCCCCAGTAGTCCTGTGTGTGTGAACATGTCCTCAGAGCATCGTGAATGAGTGTGTGTGAGTGTGTGTGTGTGTGTGTGTGTGTGAGTTGTGGGAATGGGGTGCTATGTGTATTCCTGTATGAAATTAGCATGACCTCTTAAGTTCTCACCAATTTCAGTCCTTTGACTTTGCTCAGTGACCTGTGCTACCATGACCTTACAAGTACTCAGTGAATTCCAGCTCTTCATAGAGGTGCTATTTTTTTTTAAAGATTGATTGATTGATTGATACAAGCACTGGGTACAGTCAGAAGCACGGGAGGGTGAGAGAATTCACCAGAGCCAGAGCGGGGAGCAGAACGGGCAGACTGCGGAAATACACTGCTGAGGGGAGCAGGGGGTGTGGCAGGAGAGGTCTATGCACCATGTGGGACCCTCTCCGGCGGCCGGGGATC